TGCATATTGTGCAAAAGAATCTTATCCAATTTGATTGTAAAGTTGTGAATTGTGTCTTTAATTGATATTCAGAATGCCGGAATGGTTATGAGTTGTAGGAAGTAAAACCTAGAGAATTAAACTTTACCATTCACAAATGTTTTAGTGAGTCTCATTAGGGGTGGAAGAATAAAAATCAGGAGATGAGGGTTTTAAGAACTATAATGAAAAAGACTCAATTTAAGATGGAGGTTTCTCTTATGGATACTCTACTAGTAAAAGTAAAACAATGATTACATTGGACTCGTAATAAAATAAAGAAAGAGATTATCTCATCTCAATGGTACCATTATCTAACCTTGAGTGTCAAATGGAAAAGAGGTTTTTTCACTAGTCTACTATAGTGGTAAAATTTGAATTTGTTCTAATGTACGATTAATTTATTTTTCCCTTTCTGATACAGAACAGATAATTGACTCTTTCTTCATGTCAAGTATAGTTTCATCCACAGTATACAGTGAAGTAAAATTAAGCTCCTGCAATAGGTAGATAGGGTGAATTCAACAGTGGTAACCATTAACCTAGTACGCAACATGTTTCACTATGAATGTGTCATAACCCCACAAACTCCAATCCTTACTGAACTGTCAGCTATATGGAACAGTTATTAGTGTTGGGGAACCTCCACACAATAATTTGCATAAACTTGTAGATTTGTATATACCAACAAAAAAACTTGTGGTTATATTTCATACTGTATCTACTTTGAATAATAACCATTATAAGTTGGTGCCACTTTCCTTTCATTATGCACGTGTGAACAGTGTGGTCTTATCCTACCTTCTTCTAACCATAATTCTTTAGCCATTTATGTAATATTTAAAATAACGAAGGAGACTCATAATGCTAACCTTGATTTATAATTTCTAAATAAAAGTAAAAAAAGAAGGTACTTCTATGCTATATAGCACAGGTATTTTTTTAAAAAATATTCGTGTTCGTATCTATGTCCGATAGGTGTACCGATATTTATAATTTTTTTAATTTATTTATCTTTTTAGATTTTTACCGATATCATTATGTCCGTGTAAGAATCGTATTTAAGGAGTCTATAATTCATAGTTATGTTAAAATAGGACTCTTTTAATCATAAAAAATTTATAATAACTTGTTTATATAAAATGGCTTCATGATTGAAACTAGTTATAATTCAACGATAGATGTGATTGTTGTTTAATGCACGCTATTTTTATTTCAATCCATATAGATCATGTGAGGTGGTGGTGTTGAAATTGTTAGTACGTGAGACATTTTTAGTGAGAAGAGAAAGAGATAATAAAGAAACAAGGATTGATATTATTGAATTAATAAAATTGAATTACAAAATGTCTATTTATATACACTAAAATAACAAACCCTAAACTCTAATTAGCTTTGCGCTTGAGCCACATAATACAATTTGGATTATATATAATATCTCAACATACCCCCCCCCCCCCCCCCTTATAATCCAAGTTGTCGAAACACACTAATAATTGTCGATCTGAACTATTCCTAATTTCTTTCTCAAAGGTAGGAACCTGTTGATCTTTAATCCTTTGGTAAAAATGTCAACCAGTTGTGCTTCACTTGAGCAATGTCTTACTTCAAGTTCACCTCTACTCACCTTCTCCCTTAAGAAGTGAAATCTATCTTCGATATGTTTACTTCTTCTATGCAAAACTGGATTTTTTGTCAGATTTATGGCTGACTTGTCGTAGATATGCAGTACCAGAGGTTTCTTCACTTCGACCTCCATTTCTTCAAGCACAAATCTGATCCAAATTGCTTGACACGCATCATATGATCCTCCTATATATTCAGCCTCACACGATGACAATGCCACCACAGGTTGCTTTCTCAAGCACCATGAAATTAGGGCACCAAATACTTGAACGAAATATCCAGTAGTGCTTATTCGATCTTCCTTATCTCTGCACCAATCAGCATTTGAATAACAAGTAACCATGGCTTCTTTGCTTTCAGAGTCTCTTTGAAATTAAATTTTATAGTTTGTCGATCCTTTTAAGTATCTCAGGATTCTTCTTGCAACCATCATATGTGACACCCTTGGTTCACTCATGTATCTGCTCACTAGTCCGGCTGAGAAACATATATCAGGTCGACTGTTCCACACATATCTCAGAGATCCAACAATCTGTTTGAACAAAGTTACATCGACTTTGTCTTCCTCTCCATGTTTTTCCAACTTTAAATTTGGTTTGATAAACGAAGATGCAGGAGTCGAATCATCCATTATGAATCTCTTGAGTATCTCTTTGACATACTTTCTTTGATGTAGCACCATGCCTTACTTCGACATTTGAAATTCCATGCCTAGGAAGTATGACAACTTTCCCATATCTGACATTTTAAATTCCTTCTTCATCAGCTCTTTGAACTTCGACAAGTTCTTCAAGCTATTTCCATTTACTAGCAAGTCGTCGACATATAAGCAAATTATTGTTATATCTTGTGCCACAGCCTGAACATAGACACCATACTCAGATTTGCATTTTATGAATTCCAATTCAACCAAGTATGAGTCGATCTTCTTGTTCCATGCCCTAGGTGCCTGCTTGAGACCATAGAGCGCTTTGTGCAACTTGTATACTTTACTTGCTTCCTCCCGAATCACAAACCCAGGAGGTTGTGTGACATACACCTCTTCATCTAAAGATCCATTCAAAAATTCTGATTTCACATCTAAGTGAAATGTTGACCATCCTTGCTTGCATGCCAAGGCCACTACTAGTCGAACAGTTTCCAATCTTGCGATAGGTGCAAACACTTCAGAGTAGTCGAGTCCTGCTCTCTGGAGAAATCCTCGAGTTACCAATCTCTCCATATGCCTTGCTATCGACTCATCAACATTGTGCTTTAACTTGAACACTCACCTTACTTTGATAGCTTTTGTATGAGTTGACAATTCGACCAACTCATGTGTGTTGTTTCTTTAAATTGTTTGTAACTCTTCGACCATAGCAGACTTCCATTGTTTATCTTTGAAGGCTTTGTGATAGTTGATTGGTTCAGCACCTACAAGTAAAGCAAAATGAACTAGTTCCCTATCTATTGTGACTTCATCATCACCAACCACTTCATAGTCTTGAATTTTTGCTGGACGAGCTCTAATTTGTTGAGGTCTCTGACCTGTACCAGCCATATCCTCTTCGACTTCGACTGTGTCGAGTGTCAGCAACTGCTTCGACTTCTTCTTCGGCTGGAGTATCAACAATGTTTTTGACTTTGTCATCATTACTTTCTTCGTCGAAATCATAGCTCATCAGTGGCTTGTCAGTTGCATTACTAGAATTCTAATCCCATCCAGAATTTTCATCAATCAGAATGTCTCGACTCACCACAATATTCTGATTAATTGGATTGAAGAACATGTATACTTCAATCTTATGATATCCTACCAGAATAATAGGTTCATTATCATCAAGCTTCCTTCTCCTAGTATCAGAAATATTCTTGTAGCAAATAGAGTCAAACATCTTCAGATGACTCACTGATGGTCGTTTGTCACTCCATACTTCTTCAGGAACCTTGTTTTGCAGCTTCTTGGTAGGACACCTGTTCAAAATATAAACAGCATTCGAAACAGCTTCACCCCATAAGGATTTTGGAAAATTCACCTGCTTCAGCATGCATCTCGCCATGTCCAATAGCTTCGCCCCATAAGGATTTTGGAAAATTCACCTGCTTCGACATGTCCAATATGGTCTTGTTTCTTCTTTCTGCTATTCCATTATGTTGAGAAGTATAAGGAGCAGTGATCTCAGGATCTCAGGATCAATATCATGTTCTGCACAAAATGCTTCAAATGTCTTGAATGTGTACTCGCCACCTCCATCTGTTCGCAGAACTTTAATTTTCTTTTCACCCTGGTTTTCAACAAGTATCTTGAATCTCTTAAAGATTTCAAATACTTTGTCCTTTCATTTGATCACATAGATCCAGAGCGAGAAAGACACCACATATTCACCCAAAACATTAAGGTGATAAGTGTATGGATTATCCCACTTATAAATGCTCAACTATTCACATTTATAATCAATGTGGGCCTCCAACTCACACTTGGCTTTATTATTCTCACAATTTGTACATCTTAATTCAACGAAGCATCTTTTCTAAAAGACAAAGTTGTGAGGGTTCTCATGTTCAAAACGAACAATACATTTAGTAGTACAGGAACATTGACGTTAGAAGGAGAGGTTTGACCCACATGCACACTACTCCTTAGTCTCGATAGGAGATAATTGTTGAATTGGAAAAAATAGTCTCATTATTTAAAAATCAATACCAAAGATAATTTATATACAACACCCATGTACTTTAATCTAACATGACCTAATTTTTAACTAACAAAATTGTGAGTGTCCTCACACCCAAAATCAAACAATATTTAGATGCAATGGCGCAATCTTGAGAACGACGGATCAGAAACTAAAATAAGAAATAAAGCTAAAAATGGCCAAAACATTTGAAATGTTGAATTAGTCTATATATAAAAGAACTTTCAATTGATGGTTGAATTTGTTAATAAATTATTTAAGGCCCACTCATTGTTTGATTATTAGAAGGACAAATCGAAGGACATGTTTTAAACAATTATGCACAATGTCTCACAGCTCATGTCCTTGTCCCATTCAACTTGTAATTCCACATTCACCGCGCTTATTATTCCACCGCAACGCAATGCTCCATATCTTTGACAAAATCGCTTCTTTCATTGGCATTGGACTTATATGAAAACATCTCAATCCTTACTTGTCCACACATAACTCTTGTTTTTTACTCTTCGATGATAACATAACATGTCACTTATAACCGACTTCTATAATTGCCACTTGACAAAGATTGATTAATCTATACTTAACACACGTTTAGCAACTTAATCAATCTTTGTATAGTGTCTAAATTCAACATTCTCTATCATAAGGTGTTAACTATTCAAGAGGGTTTTGCAAGCTGCAATGAAGAAGAGTTCTGGTACATCTCAAAAGCTAGGTTCTTTTCTAAGTCCAAGAGAGAAGAACATTGAGAATCAAAAGAGTTGGAATTCAGAGAGAGTTTTGTTGCAACCAACAACAAGTAACAGCAGCAACAGAAAACAAGGCTTTGTTGCTGGTTTTTCACCTTTCAACAGTGGAAGAACGGTACCTTCTAAATGGGATGATGCAGAAAGATGGATTTGTAGTCCAGTTTCAGTTTCAGGTTCAGGTTCAGGTTCGGGCTATGTGCAACATCAGAGAGGAACCAAATCAAAAAGTGGTCCTATTTTGCCTCAAGGAACTGCTTATTACTCAAACTATTCGCCTGCAATTCCGCTGCGGAATGGTTTGGTGGTGAAAAACTTGATGATGAATTCTCCTTTTACAACGGGAGTGTTGGCACCAGATGTTGTTTCTGTTCATCATTATTATGGACATGACAATTCGTATGCTCCGCATTATGATGTTGAAGATAGTAGTAGTTCAGTGGTTAATGAGAATGGTTTTGATGTTTCGTCTGGAATGAATGCGCCTTCGTGGTCAGAACTGCTTTCTGACCCGTCTTCGCCTAATTCTCATGGTATGAAGTTATTGTTCTCAGTTACCGTAACTATGTTATTTTGATGTATAAATGAACTACAAGCTGTATAACTTTTTGTTACAGATGAGAAATGTGATGGAAGTAAGAATGATGGAACTGTGATGTCTCCTATGACAAAGATTGATAGAGGAACCCAAATGAGTTCTCCAGAAACTGAAAATGAGGATCATTCATCTCCGAAATCTTCTTCCCCGATTTTGGCCATGGATCAAAAAAGTTGTGATTCAGAAAAGTTAGAGATCAGAGATGTTCAGGTAGACTGTCAGGCTAATGTTATGAAGGGGTCTAAGAGTTATGCATCGAAGCTAAGCGCTACAGAAGGCAAAGTTTCAGGTTTGGATATTGCAGAGTCAAGTTTGGACACTTCCAGTTCCAAGTATGTATCTTGTTCGTTGAATGGGTTAAAGAGCGAAAAAATTGTTCTGTTTGTGTATTTATCAATGAACCTTCATTTTGACGCAGGTTTGAGAGAGATGAAGCTAAAATTGTTGCGTGGGAAAGCTTGCAGAAAGCAAAGGCTGAAGCTGCAATACAAAAACTTGAGGTGTGTATAGTGAACATTTACATATGGTGTTTGTTTCTAAAGCAACTCAATGTCATAAGCAACATAGAATTAGCATCATATAATCATTTAGAAAAGCTCATAAATATGGGAATATACAGTTTATAATACATTAGTCAGTGACTAAAGCAAAGGCATCTTTAGTGCTCTTGCCTGATTATGGAAGTGTTTGACACAGATGAAATTGGAAAAGAAGAAATCTTCATCAATGGATAAGATTCTAAACAAGCTGAGAAGGGCTCAGATAAAAGCTGAAAAGATGAGAAGCTTAACACCAGATCAACAGGAACGGCATGTTTCCAAGACTTGGAAAGCATTTCCATCAGCAAAATATGGATGGTTTCCAAACAGCTGCTTCACCAGCCAAGCTCTGTGATCAATCCCATATATACACCATGTTCAATGTAGTATTTTATAGCTTTTTTTTTCAGGAAAACCTGTCAGAAATATTATATTTCAATTCACAGACTCAACTTGGTATAGCCTTTAGCACTTCACATATAACCATAAATAGTCAACTGTGCATTTTCTAAATATCATTTTTTGTGTTTTCAAATTGTGGATGAGGCAGAGAAATAAGCCTTCCATACGTGCTGCTTGTATCAAAATCAGGATGATTCCTGCATATAACTTGCTTTTCTTTTACCTCCAATAATCTCCAATAGATGGATATACACTACTAATCCATAATGCAGGTGATTCAAATTATACAGGTCAAAAAATTTGGATCATTCGGGTATAAATCATCCAATTGTCAATTTAAGGTGTCTATTATCATTGTTGGAAAAAAAATATCCACTTTACAATGTCTATCCAGTTGGAACGTGTTTTTGTATCCGGCGCTAAATAGGCATGCACTGTAAAACATGGCTGAAAAACAAATGACACATAATGGGAACATTTCTAGTATGGCAACACAGAACATTTCCATAACTCAAGTTTAACCAGTTCTAGTTCTAGAATAAATTACAACCCATTATCATGTCAAAGAAGAGATCTAACTGACGCCATACTCTGCACTTTAATTGTTCAAGCAGAAAGAAAATAAGTATTTCTGCATTACAATAAATTAGGTAAAATCCAATATTTAATGCTTACAACTTCATAATCCATTAATTAATACTAGAAGACCTGCACCACAGATGGCAGACAGTCATACTAGCATAAAGCAACACCTCCGATAGAACTGTGCCATACTAGTATGGCCTATACCTCCAATCTGCTCTTGATGGCCTTCCGAGCTGCTCTTGATAATCAGCTCTTGATGGCCTCCCGAGCTGCTCTTGATAATCTGCTCTTGATGGCCTCCCACTGGGAACTCCATAACCCCACTACAAAAGAAAACAGTATATAAACCATAAGCTAAATACACTAGTACGATGCAGATTATCAATGTTTGTATGACTGATAGAAAACACCATTTCATACAGCACATACTGCACTTCTACTAATGCAAGAATCAATTTTTGGACAAATTATCCACATAAACTCATTAGTATGTATAAACTCACATCATCATAGTCTAAACCCCCATACATCCTCCCATAATTTCGCAATGGACCACCATATCCTCCAAAAGGTTCCATACTGCTCATCATAAAATTTTCACTGGGCCCAGCATCGTCAACAGGTGTGGCTGAATCTATTGCCACCTGCAGGTACAAGCTGCTTGTCAATCAAACCATACTTCAACAATAAAACATGCCTATGTGCACAAGGTTGCACAAGTTTATTGTTCTGAAACATGTGCATGCAAAAACATTCACTGCTGAGTTCATCTTGATGTTCCAAACATGATTTTATGTCATAAAGAATTCACACTTTTCATAAAAGTGAGAATGGCTGCTGAGTTCATCTTGATGTTCAAAACATGATTTTATGTAATTAAGAATTCACACTTTTCATAAAAGTGAGAATGGTAAAGATCATCAAATGTAAAGATCTGCTAGATAATGTAACTAATGTGAAAAAAAGACCAATAAACCAGGAATCAGAACTTTTCACAACTCATTCCTTCCCTACTAATGGAAGGTGTCACCTCATTAAGCTTCGAAAAATCCAACTTATCTAAATCTATCCCAATCACAACAAGCTTAAATCAGGAATGGACATTTCTGGTAAAGAACAAAAATACCACCTAAAACAGTGCATTTGAACAGACACCCATCCTCTGTTTCCTGGGCAAAAATACTACACAAAACAGAGCTGGGAGGAAATTCTTTTGTTTTGTGGACGGCTCAATCAGTCTACTTCAAGTTATTGGATCCTAGAGGTTGTGATAGTTTCTAACAGTTATGTAATTGAATTACAGCAGTTGTATTTCCTTTGTTTTCATGTAACCAACTCTGCAGCAAGTATTCTCAGAGTATTGTTAATTATAATACCAATTCCATTCAATATATATATCAATCATCATTTACCCGTTTATGCCAGATCTATCAAACACCTACACTTTTGGATTTTTGAAGCAATAGTAATAAAATAACAACAAAGCCAACCTGGTGTCCACAGATCTCATGAGACCTTCGAGAGACACGATCTGCTACACCTTCTTCAGCAAAGGTAACAAATCCAAAACCCCTGTGACCTGTTCTCTTAGGATCCTACACACGTAAAGATAGTTGAGTTAATCAGATTTAAACACCGGTTTAAGGTTTTTGATTCATATCTTACTCTAGGAATGTAAACATCTTCTATACGGCCAAATCTTCCAAAATATTGACGGAGATCCTCAGAATTTGCTTCGGGGGGGAGGCGGCCAACAAAAATCTTTTTACTAATTCTTCGACGAGGCTCTCCCCCTAATTTACAAAGTTTGATTGTCAGTATGAAGCAACATTAGTTATTTTGATTGAACAGAGGTGAGTGATGCTTCCAAGCTTACTTCCATAAATTGGGCCAGGATGATCGTACAAGGTAGGAGCTCCGAGTGCTGCATATCTAGTTGCTGTAGAAATATATGCATTGTATGCACCATATCCTCCCTGTGACACTCTACCAGTCGACTTAATGTCATCTTCCTATAAAAATGGTACAACAAAATTATAATACAGAAAAATTAAAATATTTAGTTTGAAAAATGTCTTCATTAGACATGGAGCACCATTCTGGAATTTTCACAAAACTATTCTTCCATAATATGAGAGGATATTCAAACTCTTGCCTTAGGTGTAGCTCGATCAACCACTACAGCAGTACCGCCGAGTTCATGGGTTTCTGACATCAAACTCTCCACAGATTCTGCAAGATAGAACAACTTCGTTAGAGCAAAATTGATATGTATCCTTTCCATTTTACTTCAAAAGTCTAAAAATAAAAAAATAAAGCTAAACATGGATGGCGCAGATAGTACACATGAAAACAGTGCAGATAGCAAGTACTGTCAAAACTTCACTTTTTCAAGTTATAGTCAAGATCCTACATAACTACCAAAAATAAATTCTAGGAAAATAAGCATGACAAATACCATATATATTTAAAATATGCGGACAGTTATATTATAAGTAAATCACATGCATATGCTACAATAAATGGCCCAACCTGCATTTGCAAAAGTGATAAAACCAATTCCACGATGCATCTTTGAGCCTTGATCCTGTTGGAAATAAATGAAAATTTATACGATAAAAATTCAAATTAATAATAAATAAAAGAGTAAATTATGCATAAGTCTGAATGCACAGTCAACAGGAGGAAAGTACCTTTGGCATGTACAAATCTGTTATGTCTCCATATTTCTCAAAATGACTGCAATAAAAAGAAGTAAAAAAGAGGACATAAGATTATTTATATAAATTTCCTCATATATTCTTGATAAGAGTATATCACCAAAGAAAAAAAAACTCATAAGTCCGGATTATTTTAATGAAGATACCAACACTTATATACTGTTAAGAGTCTCACATCGGACAATATATGGCATGAACATGTGTTTATAAGTGGGGGCAATCCTCACTCTACCAACCGGTTTTGTAGGGTTGAGTTAGGCCCAACCACATTTCTTAACATGGTATCAGAGTCTCGTTTAAGATCCGGTGGGCCACCTTCTATGGTTTCCGCTATCGGGCCACCCACCATTTATTTCCACGCTCCAGTTGTCCAGTCCTGAGCGTGAGGGGGTGTGTTAAGAGTCTCACATCGGACAATATATGGCATGAACATGTGTTTATAAGTGGGGGCAATCCTCACTCTACCAACCGGTTTTGTAGGGTTGAGTTAGGCCCAACCACATTTCTTAACATATACCTTTTAAAAGTTGCTTCTGTTACAGATTGTGGAATCCTGGCCACAAAAATTCTGGTAACTTTTTTGGCTGGTGCCCTCATCTCCTCCTTTAAAATGTAAATGTCAAAAGAATTAGTATTACAATTATAGCACACGGAGAAATGAACCACACTAGACTTTAAGTTTCAAAGAAATGTTTTTGTAACCTTTGGTGTAGCCACTTTGACTTCAAGCATCCTATTACCAAGAACATGTTCACCTGACAATACTTCCTGCAGCCAGAAAGACATACAACTCGTGATATACATGTAGATGTGAGTGTGACCAGCAATATGTGTGTGTCTAGGTGAAACTTACCTTGGCATCATCTACTGAAGCAAATGTAACATATCCAAAACCACGAGATCGTCCAGTTGAACGCTCCTGAATTAAAATAAGTAGATTAGATTGCATCTCCAGCAAATTTAATTATGGGGGAGATCAAACCTATCCCTATAGATAACATTTATATTTCACGTTCAGTGTGGAAGTGATAAAACGAATTTTGATCTTATTCACGTCTAACATATGCATGTTGCTTCTTCAAATTTCAGATAAATAAGCATGGGAAATGAACTATAAAGAGTGTGCAGGGAGTTTCCTGTACATAATACATGATAGCATTTCTATCTATGTAGTTCATTTTAGCTAATTTTAACATAGCCAAAATGCCAAGCAAAAGTGATAGAAGAGCGTAGAGTTAGGTAGTCAACACCAATGTAACACTTGGTCAAATTTTAATAAGATGGATGGAATAAGCATACAAACTATCAAAAACTCATTAAAGGACCATTTTGATGTTTTTAGGATTATATGACCAAACTAATGACAAATGTATCCTACGTTGTTCATCTTGGATGCTGAAGCAGAGCCGTCAACCCAAACTGGAAAAGTGGTGTAGTGTGAGGCCACTATTCCAATGTTTATATTTAAATTTATTATTTAATTAATACTTTCTATATATAAGTGTGCGTGTGTGTGCGCGCGCGCGTGTTTTCTAGTGGCTCCTTAACTCAATTCACCAACTTGTAGCTCCTTAACACTAAAGCTATGTTTGGATATTATGAAATGAACGGAGTGGAGTGTAATGGAGCGGAATAGAACGGAGCGAAACGAAGATACCATTCCATTGTTTGGAAATTTTAGAACGGGGCAAGCAAATTGTTCATTCCGCTCAAATTGGAGGGGAATGAATATAGTGATAGAATTGAATGAAATTTATACCACCCTAATTCCACTCCATCCAATTTTAAATATTCCGAACAATGGAATATTATTCCATTCCTATTGTAGTGGGTCCATCATTCACCAAAGACAAGATAAACATAAACATTAAAAAATAAATTTAAAACCTTAAAACAAGTAGTATTATTTAATAGCTCCTTAACTCAAAATAAGTATCCCTCAGACTCTTTAACCTAAAACAAAATGCATTCGCTATGTTTTCCTTTTATCATAAACAAGTGGGAGTCCTGAACTGGCCATAAACGCAAAGCTGTCTGGAAAACACAGGTAGACTTAGTCCTACGAAGGAAGGCAACCAGAAACAGTGAGAAAATCCAGGTTATGCTTCTTTTCTTTTGGATTTTCCTCCTGTGAATGATTCAAACCAGTGCAGGATGCAAGTTGACTCGCAAACTCGCCCAAGTTGATGTTCCAATCGCATGCCGGCGTGCTGATTGCAGGTAAGATCGTATGGTGAAACTTGGTAAACTCACCTGAGTTGGAAATCTGACTCGTTTCCATTCTGCAGATGCAGCGATTCTGTTTTTAAGGGGGTTTTTTTAGAAAAAAACTCTAATTTTCTATAATGGGCCTGGATCAGGTCGGGTTTTATTAAATTTTGATTTTTTATTATTTTTTTAAAAAAGAAATTCATAAAGACAATCAAAATAACTCTTTTTAAACCAAAACGTATCCTATCATTCAAAATATTCCAGCTTTCTTGATTGCGGCCTAAACTCAACTGTTACCAAATTATTTCAGCATAAATTCTCTTTCTTCCATTACTGTTCTTCTTCCTTGTTAAACAGAATTACTTCCTCTTCCTCTTTCACATTCAAGCTTTCTCTTTCATTTAACAAGACGTCGCCAGTCAACAATGCCGACTCACTCAACACTTTCTCTTTCTTTTTCTACCAATAGTTACGATTTTTGAATCGTCTACCAATTCTGCATAAACTCTCAGCTTTTAAACATTGATTCCGACGCAATTTGCAACCATGACATCTGTGCTTGCAAAACGCTATGCTACCAGATAATCGTATTGCTGCAAGGCTCCATCCCACACCATGACTCAGCAACTGTGCACGACGTTAACAGTGCACTAAAGGAGTAGATTCTAACTGGGCAGATTACAATAGCCCAGCCCTGTAACTGACTCCAACTAACTGTCTAACACAGTGCAATTGATAGCATAGCTTTGGAAGACGAAAATCGATCATTACTCTGATAGGTTAGCAATGTTACTCATGCATCGATATTTCAAGAACGCGCACTCTTGAATAATAGGTACACGCGCTTGTTTATTAAGTTAGTAATTGAATAATGAACTCGGCACGCTTGTTTATTATACATTCGAACATTATTGATATGGTCGACAATCAATCATGAATCGCATAATTAATGGAAACAAAGAAATATGGGAAGTTAATATTAACCTTCATGACAATGCAATCTTCTAGTTCACCATATTTGCTCATGTATTCTTTCAAGCCCTCAGTGTCAACATCCCAAGGGATACCCAAAACCTAATGTGCAATTTTGTGAACACAAAATCATCAAACAAACAAACAAAAACAAAACTGTAATAACCAGTTTAAAAGCAAAAAGAAACAAAGTCAAAATTTTGATTATTGAAATTAAAAGGTAAAAATATGAGCAAATAAACAAAGATAAACAAATCGAATCTGCATGACTAACCACAAGTTTTCTCTGCTCCATCTGAAACTTGAACAAAAAGCAAAGGAATAGATTGAAAAGCTGTAAAGAAAAAATCCCTATGCACCACTCTGAAAGGGAAATTAACAAGAAAAACAAAAAATTCTATCCACCTCGTTCTCTTGGGGTAATGGTATCTCTCAGCGTTCTCACACCCCTCTCTCTAAAAATCTCACACTTTCTCCTCCCTGCACATAACAAGCACACTTCTTTCTCACACACAAAAATTGCCATCATCAACAAATGAAAAATCTGCTTTTGGGGTTGGATTTCTACAGCAATAGAAAAAACGAAATGCGAAAAATTGAAAGAATTTGGTGAATTAGGCTCTCACTGACCTTGATGAAAACGAAACTCAAAACCCTAAATTGGAGATCTCGCTAGCTAGATCGCTCTATCTATCTCCCTCCTCCTCCCTCTATTGCTCGCTCGCTCGCTCGCTCGTTCCGCACCGTCTCAGCCTCCTGTTTGTGTCTCCGTACATTTTACCAAACATCTTTAAAATACACGACACAAATGTCAATTGGGCTTGGTCGGACCCAAGGCCCGGTTTTTTTCTGAACCGGGTGATAAACCGAAACTCTCTCTTTGACTAAAAAAAATGAAAGGTTTGTGGTTAAATATTCAAACCGTTGTTTTTTTATTACAAATCTAAAATAGAAAAGAAAAAAAAAGTTTCAATTATAAAGAATAAAGTTATTGTATGGTCTTGAGTAGATTGACTCAGTAGGTAATTAATTTTTTATGCATCTAATACTTCTGCATCTGATGTACATAAATATTTTGTTAGTAAATGATTTTGAACAAAACAATTATACATTTTTAATTGAGCAAGTCAAAATTAAAATTATATTGATTAATTGGTTAAACTTTTCATCATTATTTTTCTATTTTCCCTCGAGTTAGTAGCAAAAACCACATGTGTTCTGGTACTATGTGTTAGTATCTCTTAAACTATACTTGGGTACTATAGACTTAAATAAAAATTGTGATAAAAGTTCTACTTATAGAGTTGATAAACGCAAAGATACAAGTGAAAAAAACAATCCATATTTTTTTGTAAAGTGACATGTTATTTCATGCATGCATCAAAATATTGAAAAATTAGCTATAAATATCTAAGATAATAAAAATGGAAAATATTATTTTTACACTAAATGTAATACTTATATCCCGTATTATTATACAGTTTTGTTTTTTTAAAATATTGAATTGAATTGTGTATGTTAATTCATTTTACTTCTGAGAACTAACTTCAAAATCTGAACAAATTCAGAATCTGATCACAGAATTATCAGCAGCGGAATGAATAATATTCTGAAGCAAAAAGTAAAGCAACACATAGAGTTATTCTACTTCCGCTCCTAAATTGGGAGTAGTCTAGTCCCCTTATCCAACAAGAGATTTTCACTATAATCAAACTGATTACACTTTCCTCAAGCAAACTAGCAAGAGACTTCAATTGCTCAATCACACTAGAAAGAGACTTCAGCTCAAATAAACTAACAAGAGACTTCAGCTCAAATAAACTAGCAAGAGACTTCTTCTATTCTAAACAAACAGTTTAGGAGAATAGATTAACAATTATACTTGATGTATAATCATAAGCATATAAGTGATACAACAACCACAAAGGTTCTTAACACAGATTTTTAAGATATACAAAGATAAGAAATCTTAAGAACTTATGCAATAAACTGTTATAAAAACTTTAGCTCAAAGTTATGCTTAGTGTTATTATGTTGTTGGATAACTATGTAACCTTCCTTCAAATCTTTAACTCCTTTTTACAGAGGCATAAAAAGATTCGTTGGAAGGTGACTTGCACAAGTGTTCATTGTTGAGAAGCATTTTCAAGAGAGAAATTGGAGGATAAATCTGATTAAGATGTTGAACAGACTTATGAGGTCACATCAACTTTCCTTGAGTCTTGCACAAAAAAATCCTAGTTGACTTTTTCCATAATCTAACGTTTGACAAGATTGGTCTGCTTTGAAGATAGAGTACTGATCAAAATTTGAGCACCTTTACCTGAGATTGTCATACCCTAATTTTTTACCCTAAGATTTTGTTTTGCATCATCTGCATAGCATAACATGCACTTCATCTTACACAGTGTCTAAAATGTCAGTCAGAATAAATTTGTTGGATTTACAGACAAACCGGTCTAAATTTATTTCAAAATCTGAGCAAACGTTATATTTTTCCAATATGTTTATTTCACGCTGATTATTTTGGTGTGTTCATTTTACTTTCTCGGGCACTTTTCTGTCCGACTTTTTATTTTGTTTTTAATCATTTTTATTTAAATAATCATTTAATTTATTTACATTTAATTAGATATTTAATGTAAATTTTTATTTTTATTAATTAATTTTACTTTTAATTTGTTTATTAATATTTTTTAAAAAATACAAAAACATAATTTTTAATTCTATTTTTATTATTTTATCATAAAAAAACACAAAAATATGATTTTTAATTCTTTTTTTTATTGTCTTATCATAAAAAATTGAAAAATATGATTTTTAATTCTTTTTATTCTTGTCTTATCATAAAAAACACAAAAAATATGATTTTTAATTCCTTTTATTCTTGTCTTATTATTAAAAAAAAATAAAAAAAAAAATATTGTATATTTTTTACCCCTATATATATGCATTAGAAAAAACAAAGGGTACACAAAAAAAAGAGACAACAAAAAAACATTTGTCTCCTCGTTGTTCTCTGTCTCTTTCACGTATAAACAAAATAAATAAATAAAAGAGAGATTATACTTCATTTTCACACAAGCCCATGAATAACAACAACAAAGTCGTTTTTCTTTCAAGCTCATAACAAATCCGCAAAGCACCATGAAAGCCTCTACATAACAAACCGAAAAATCCGCAATCATGCACACCTTCGACACCGTTTAGCCTCTATTTGTGGTAACTTTCTCTTATTCCTTTCGTTTTATGTTCACCAAAACTTTTTATTGATTTTGTTTGTTTCAGTTTTTAGAAATCTTTTTATTAATATGTTAGGTGTTTAAAAAAAATTCTCTTCTTATCAAAACAAAACTTTTTTAAAATAAAAAAAAATGATAAAATTTAAAAAAATATATATATAACAAGCATTTTATCTTAATGTTTGTGATTGATTTTCTTTTACTTTGTTTATATAGATTTATGCAGGTTGTCTAATTTTATTATTTATTTGTTTTGTTTGTTATTGTTTAATTATCTTTATTGCTTTTATTTTTCATTAGCTAGAAAAAGTAATTAATTAAATAATAGATAAAATACAACAACAAAAAAACATAAAATTAACTCTTTTTAAAATAAAATAAAAAAAAGAACAAAAAATAATAAATACTCGATCCAACGTCGAGACATTTTTTTCTCAAGTCAAAACCAACGAGCTCATTTTATTTTCGTGCTTGCACTTATTTCTTTAATTGGGTTTACTTATAATATGTTTATTTCATCCTCATCCGACAAAATGTACCACGTTCCCATTAACTGTAATAATTTTATCGTTTTCATCTTGATTGTATTTTAATGTTTTATCCATCACTCACTTACACGCTCAAACTATTTTTATACTAATTCTCGATTCAATATCGAGCCATTTTACAAAACACGTTTGTAAGTCGATTGTTTCTACGTTTGCCATCAACCAAACCCAAAACATTCTTGATTCATATATCAAGTTATACCCTAACTTGTAAGTTGACTGCTTTTTAGCATCATCATCAACCTCATGCACACACTTGCACATTTTCTTTGGTTGTGGTTTCATTTCCTATGAGCACTCTTAGGGACTAGGAATCGACCTAACTTTTTCTCAAACCCTTGATCCAACGTCAAGTGGTTACTTCCCTCATAATTTGGTTGCCTTTTGCAATCGCAATCACGCAAATTCAAATCTCGATCTTTTATCGAGTATTTCTTTTCTTAAAACAAAAATCTTTTTCTTTTCTCAAAAATACAAAAATACTTTAATCATAGTTCTAATATGTTTCAGAAACCATAATAAAAACACTTACTTCCCTTTATCCTAGCATTAGGATTAGAGTCGTCGTACTCCATGTAGGTGTTCTACCATGGACATTTACTTCCCTTTTATCCTAGCCTTAGAATTGGAGTCGCCGCACTCCATGTAAATGTCATGGTTATGGACATTTACCTCCCTTTGGAACCTTGACCATAGTCAAAAGTTCTTCACCCTTATTAAGGGGAACTACGAATGCTCTGATTTTATTCTCGTTAGGATACGTAGGCACGAGATGCGATGTCTTGGCGAACATGCTTATGAATAACATCTTAAGTATTTCTTTTCCTTTTTCACCCTTAGCAGACAAATAACGAATAACACATTAAAACAAGAGGTTCATGTAGAGTACTACATATACTTAGGGTGTTGATATCTTCCCTTAGTATAACCAACCCCGAACCTTAGATTCTCTTTATTGCATTGCATTGCATGTTTATGGGTTATTCGTTCTTTTTTCCTTCTCGTGGATAAACTAAAGATTGGTGGTGAATTATGATTTTTTATTCAAGTTAATTAATAGCTTGATATTCAATTCTCATCGCGACAGAAATGACGACTTCACTGGGGACTTTCTTTCGAGGGTTACCCTTAACTTGTTGATATGTGTTATTTGTTGTATATTTGTATACATGTATATCTGTATATTTATATATTTGTTTCTGCTTGGGTTGCTACGTTGTGTTGTGAGATAAGTCCTAACCCGGACTTGAATGCACTTAGGATAAGAAGGTGATACATTCAAGGAGGCTTATAGGGAGTTGATTCTCGACCAAGCTAACTTGAGAAATCACCATTCAGTTGAGGCCCTCTTGAGAATAGTATTTTTGAACGAGTATTCATGAAAACGTTACTACTTTCGACCTAGGAGCCCGTGACACTGAGGACCTTTAGTTATCTTTAACCTAACTTTAGCTTTTTAAAACGTAGTGCGATGACTATGAGGGAGTAGTCCCAAAATAGTTGAT